GGAACTTTTTTCCTCTAGCTGAATTACTCTAAGATTCAAAGTAGCCACAGCAACCTGAAGTTAATGCCTATAGTTAATCAGTTATCTTCTGTACTTTTCTGTGGTGCTTCTGGTCTCAAACCCTATCCTTTTCTTTTTTTTCTTTTTTTTCCTACATACAAAGTATTTCATAGCTCCAGTGAAATGGATGTCCATTGCCTCCCATGGCTCACATTGTTTTGAAATTTCCTAAGGAAGATACGTTGTAGCAAAGAAAAGTTGCAATCTTTCATATTTGCACTGCAGTCCAAACATTTTTGTATCTCAGTGAAATTCCTGACTGCAATTTATCAGAGCTAAGCAGATGACTGTTAGTCTGATGGTACAGACTGTATTATAAAAATGTATTGTGTCAGATACACTAATATGTACCAGCTTGATTTCCTTTCAGCATACAGTGGGACAGGTCTTGTGACTAAGAGACGAGCAGTAGATCTGATATAGTTTGACTTTCATAAGACTTTGGCAATATCTGATATGTCTCTCCAAAGTATCAAAATTTGGATTAATTCAAACTTCTGTAATGGGGATGCATAGCTGATGAAATAAATCACTTGGAGCACTCTCAAGCTGCTGTTGTATCGATGGAGTCCTACAGAAATCTCCCTTAGTCTGGTACTCTTCAGTATTTTCGTTACTGCTTGGTTGAGGGACTAGAAAGGCATGTATCAGAATGCTGTAGGACACAGACTGGGTTAGGATTGCAAGCCAGTTGACAGGGTTGAGAATTCAGACTTATCTTGATGTCTTGGGAAAATACTGTGCAATAAATAGGATGGAATTCAGCATCATTTCATCAATGCAACCAAGTACAGTGCTTTGGTATTAAGCAACTTCATGGCTCAGTCAGGGAGAAAGAATAACTAGGCAGCAAGTCCATAGAATAGGATCAGAGGGTGGATCATGGTCTGAACACAAGTTAAATATGTGAAGCTCAAGTGAAAAAGACAGAAAAATGACACCCCAGCTTCAGTAAGCAAGAGCATTGAGCTTTGCTCAGCACTGCTAAAGCCTCATTTGGAGCATAGTGTCTGGATTTGAGCACCACACTTCACCAGTGATACAAGACATGAAGAACCAGTTATTAAGACTAGAGAAGAGAGACTTAGAGGTTAGAATTTTATAGATTATATGAGGGATTGCTGTAGAAAGGAAAGGTAACTGTTTTCCCCATTCACAGAAGACCTGGGCTTGTAGAGCAGCTCAGCAATGCACTTCTTCGCTGACCAGTGGAGGAAGCATGTGGACTTTCCCTCATGGGCTGTATTAAATGCAGGTTAGAGAAGCTTCAGTCACAAGTAGGTTAGGGATAGCCAATTTGGACACTAGGCAAGTGGTGGGACTGACTAACTTGTCAAGGTCTCTCCCACTGGTATGTATTTCCTGTGATCCTATGCTAACTGAGTTTCTCATCTCCAGACTGCTCAGTGTTCTCCCAGTCTGCTCATTAACCAGTTCATTTACTTGCTGTGTTACAAAGAGATGAACCAATTAAAATCAGAAAAAGGGGTTTGTGAGCCACTTTATTTCTCACAGCATCAGTGGCTGAGTAACACTAAATGTCAGATATTTCGAGCCTACACAGTGCAGCAAAGATAGGAGGTGACACAAATAGACTTCTGTCATGCAAATGAAAGTCTGGTATGAAAATAAGAGCATCAGGGTTTTCAGCAGAACCATGAGCCCCTGTAACCTCTTACCTCACTTTCAGACTCTGTACAGCCTAATTAGAGTTCTGCAGATGGTGTTTATTTTATTATGCACATGCGTAAGGGGAGAACTAGGGAGAGCTCTGCATCTTGGATGGTGGAATGCTCCTTGTGGGCGTAAATAATACGACTGCTTTTATTAGCAGTGTTGTATCAGAAATAGTTTGTCTATTATATGTTAATGATGTATAATAAGACCCAGTAAACTCCTTTAAAGTTTTTTTTGCAAACGTGAAGATATTTCTCTTTTTTACACCACAGATGATTCAGGCTGACCCTGACAAAAGGGATTAGGCTTAAACCACTATGTTTGCAAAGGAGCTACTTCTAGTGGAATGCAGAACCTAAGTGCTTAGGTTGCAAGGGAGAGGAGGCATCAGGTCTCCTGAAATGCCTGGGCCATATCTCATGTAAGTGTCTCTTCCTTGTAATTCCTCTGATGGTAGTTGGCTTGGTCCTCGACTACCCTAAATTATCATTGCATTATTGGAAAGGTGATTTTTTTTTAAAAAAAAAATTATTTTTTTACATGCTTGGGGCAACTAAAAATGCTTAAAGATTCTCACAAGGACTGCAGAATAATATATTTAAATAGCACATATCTAACTGTGTTGGGGGAATTGTGGCTTAGACAGCTAATTCCATCTCAAAAGTATTCCTTAGAATTTGCTATGCTGCATCAGTGGTGAAAAGCAAAAAGACCAGAAGAGAGCAAACAGCTGAAATTAGCTATAGCTTGCACCTGAGTATTATTGTGCATGTCATCTGAGCCACATAGTGACAGTCATCGTAGAAGCTGTTATAATGGCTGTAATTAATGATAAGAGAAATGGAGCTGATGCCACTTTCTTGCACTGTTCTTTAGTCTCAGAAGTCCAGGGCTCCTAGGCAGTTTAATAAGAAAGGGTTCATCAAGCAGGATCCTGAAGAATTTAGTGACTATAGTGGAAACAGGGAGGTGCTGTTTCTAAGTTCTGCTGTTCCATGTTTGCTTTGGACCCCAGCGGTCAGCAAATGCTAATCTCATCCATATGTTTGGCAGTTGACACATGCTGCTCTCTGGTTTTTCTCTGAGGACTGTGTGAGATGCGAGACACACTTCAATTAAAAAATGACAGTTTAATGCAGTTATTTTTAGCAAAGCAAACCAAATAAGAGAATTTGTTTGTAATACACAGTAGTGCTTAATTTCTTTCAAAACCAATGAACATTTTGGCTTCCTCTAGTGACAGAAAAGTTTGGACAATTTTAACCCTGAAGGCTCAGTTTATCCTTTGGTTATTATGCTAACAAAATAACATTTTGAAAGGAAAAACAAACTAGAAAGTATTGCTGCTAGAGATGCATGGAAATGGGATATGAAACTTGAGTCTACCCAAGCTAGATTTGGAATGTGTGCTACCACTGCAAAGGCCAAGTAGTCAACTGATGTCAACCCCTGCAATAGGCAACTGGGTTAATTTACATCAGCTGAAGTACTAGCCTGAAGTTCCTGTTACCATTCCATATCAGAGCATCCAGGCAGGTTAAATTAATCTGTCCATGATGCAGATGACTATCTTGTACATGGTCAGTTTTCCTTGTAGGCAGCGTTTTCTTATTCAGAATTTTATTAAGGTCTGTTAATAAGGTTTGAAATTTCTCTTAAGTGATGACACATGTAAGAAATACTGACAGAAGAACAGTGTCATATAATGATCAGTTACTTGTTTCCCAAGAGGCATTTAACATTTCTACCAATTGTTATTTAATGAGAAAGGTCTCATGCCAAAAATACCATTTTCTTAAAGAAAACAGCAGCAGCTCCATGCATTACATACCGTGAGCTGACTTCAGGCTGCCATCTGCTAAACCAGCCCAGGAAAACAGGCTTTCAGCTCAGCACTTGAGGTGGTTCTTTTCTGTGAAAATAAGTTCAGCTGGCACTGATTTGTCACGGTCCCATCAAAGGGAAGACTGAGAGGTTTTGACATGCCTGTGGTATGTAGCCAGGCTTGGATTGCAGACTTGGTATTTTGGGATCATCATCTATAATTATCAAAGGGCAGTGAGAATCCGTGAGGTAAGGAACACAGCTCCTTATTCTGCTGCTGATAACAAACTGGAAAGACTGCAGTAAATTTGGAGTCTCCTGCCATTTTAAGGTGAGAGGGAGTTAATTATTCTGCATTTCTAATGCCTGGATATAAGATAATTTCCTTCCCACAGTGTTGAAATTTAGGGTTATTCCTAAAATATGAAAGAGCAGAATTTCTTACCACTGTCTGCTCTTCCGTCCTCTCAACCAGTTGGGAAAAGCAATGATTCATATGAGAGATTCATGAGCAATCATGAGGCCACATACGTATCCGTTCAGCAGAACACCGTCTACCAAGGATTTCTTGGTAACAAACACAATGCTGCTGCCAAAGGTACCCCTGTGGCTTTCCCATGTTCAATGATACTTAGAGGTGCTCCTCTTGGTGCCTTGAACTGCAGGCTATACAGAGACAGCAAGGGGCAAGCTGGTGAGGAGCAGGGAGACATCACAGGAAGAGCCAATTATGCTTTGGTGAGAATCTGCATGTAAACGGAGATGGAGGCAGGAAAGCAATGGGGGAGAAGGAACGAGTGGTTCTAATAAGAGCCAGATAAATGAGAAAGATGAGACCCACAGAATGAGAGGCATACTTCACAGACATGTATTTTATGCCTTCTTTGGTGCTGGGTGGCAGGGATCATTGCAGTAACTCATGCTGTTGGTGGAGGAGGGTTTCCAGTATGTCAGCCAAGGGAGTGGCAATGAAGGAACAGGACCTTAGAGTTCTGGTGTCCGTAGCATCATTTCCTGCTGCTTTTCTTGATGGGGTTTTTTTTTGGTCAAAGCCTTTCCCTGTAATGCTTCTTCCTTCTCCTTTCACTTACTTTCAGTTCATTAACTGCCCCAATGCCAAATAAGTCTTCCAAATGTTGAATTAATTCCAGTCCTCAAAGATCACCTTCAGCTGAGGACAGAACTAGGAACTCTGGCAAAAAAATCGGCAAATCCTGGTGTTTAGATAAAGCAGCACAATCTACTGGTAAGAACTTAAATAATCCTGTATACCCTGACTTTCAAATATCAGTGCCAGAGGGCTTTTGAACTTCCTGGTACAGAAACTCCACGCTTCAATGGGAATGTGATGCAGAACAAGTAAGGAGAGGAATAGCTGGAAGGATGCTGTCATCATTTCTGGAGTGGAGTCTCCAGTAACCTCTGGTTTGCTTTGTTAGGACCTCTGTGAAGACCCCCACCTGTTTGTGAATGGAATCAGCTCCCACGACTTACACCAAGGCACCCTGGGGAACTGCTGGTTTGTGGCTGCATGCTCCTGTTTGGCTCTGAGGAAGAGCCTCTGGCAGCAGGTAGGTGATCAATGTGCTTGGTGCATGAAATAAAGCTCATAAACCTTGGTTGTTTCCCTGCCTATCAGCCAACATTTTTCCCTCCAGGACCAATGTGCCTCTGATGAGTGGTGAATTTTGGTGGATTCAAATCTTCCCTTTCTTTAGAAGTTCATTTTTCATGATATGAGACCTCACCACTCCACAGTCCCGTTGAGCACCAAAGAAGAAATATAACAAAGGCAGAGAGTGCAATAGGTTCTGTTTGTCTTTCTCTGCAGATCAGTTTGAATTTTAGTTTCCTAAAAGATTCTGAAGTGGGTCTATGTACCAAACTTTGTACCAAATTCACCCTCTTTTTTCACTGCTTCATCTATTTCAGGTCAACTGCTCGTGAAGCTGAATACCAGCATAGTACGTGCTCCAGGGCAGTCTGCCCTCTGAATAAAGTTTAATATAGTGCATTTGGTGAACTTTTCCTTTCATGGTTTCTCAGGTGATTCCAGACTTTAACGAACAAGAATGGGACCCTAAAAACCCAGAGAAATATGCTGGGATTTTCCGTTTCCGTTTCTGGTGCTTTGGAGAGTGGACAGAGGTGGTTGTTGATGACCTGCTGCCAACAATGGATGGGAAGTTGATCTACTGCCATTCCAATGTGAAAAATGAATTCTGGAGCGCATTACTGGAGAAAGCTTATGCAAAGTATGCGATAGTTCATTGTCCTTTTAGTCATTAGTGCTGTCCATCTGTTTGTTTTGTCTTTCAACTCTGTCATACTTTCCATAGGTTTTAGGTTTGCTGCTAGTAGAGAACCTAAAAAAGATAGAACACTCCTCCTTTAACCTGCATGGAGAAGTTGAATCATAAAAGAGTGCAAGGTACTCTACCTCAGCAGTCTAAAGCCTTAAGGATCGTTACACTCCTTTCCTAGAAACCCAGCAAAGGTTTACCTGCAATCTGCTGTTTTGTTTTGTTCGGTTTTGGTTTTTTTCTTGGTGAAACACAAATATATTACCTACATTTAAGCCAAATTAGACCACTTCTAACAGCCACTTGGTAACTGAGAATGTTCTATGTTACCTCCAGGCTGGCTGGATCTTACGAATCCCTAGATGGAGGCAGCGCTGCAGATGCAATTGTGGATTTCACTGGAGCGGTGGCAGAATCTATTGATTTGGTACAGGGCAAATATGGTGAGATTATTTCTGAGCAGATAAAGCTGTTTGAAGACTTGCTGAAAGCGCATAAAAGAGGCGGATTGATCAGCTGTTACATTACGGTATGTATAGAGAGATGGATTTTAAGAGTTAATTTAAATGAAAAAAAATCTGGAAAAAATACCATTATGAGTATAAGTATATTGAGTATGTCCTTCATTTGTATGCTTTGGAAAAGCTTTGTATGGAAAAGGCTAGCAAGTTGGCAGCACTGTCAGCCAAGTACAACTCCATGAGCTACTAAATACAATCACAAAACTCCAAAGCCATTTGTCCTGCCACTTTACTGCGGATCTGAAATGCTATTCGTTCTGAATGGTCACAGTTGTGTATTGACCTGAGGTTAATCCACCTAGAATGTCCTAATTTACAGGCCAGATGGCAGCATTCGATTTCTGTATTTCTTAGGGAAATCTGTTTACAGAAAACCATTCTGCTGGCACTGAGCCGCTGAGACTTCTTGACTTTGGTTGTGATGATGCAGTCGCCTTGCCAGTGTAACACCGGAGCTGAGCTGAAAGGCTGAGCTCACTTGGTTATTCAGGTAGTACTCTTTGTTAACAAGACTCCCCATTAGAATTAACCAGCAAAACTTGCCTATGCTGACTAATGTGAGGCAGCTAACGTGGGTGCCTACATTAGGAGGCCATGACCCTGAAGTTCCCTGAGTCAGTAGAGAGGGGACGGCTTCCCCAAGGGTTATACAGGGTTGCCTTCTGTGGCAGCTTTACCTCGCTCCGTTCACTTGAGGTGCTAGAAGGCAGAAGAGTAGCAGCTCCCAAAGGGTGCTATATACTTCACAAACCACATGCAGACAAGGGCCTTGCACAGCCCCTTGCCATAGGAGGGAAACCAGTGACAACTAGGCTTAACTTGCCTTCTACCAAAGTCTGCAATGCCAGGCCATGACTGGGTAGCAGTGAAATTCTCGCATTGTCTGGAGCTGTTACCACACATGGAGGGCTAACAAACTGCCATGGCACCTGAATATTTCCTAAAAGATTGCTTTTAAATGATTTTTAAAGTGCAGCCTGCAGGAAAGGGGTCATTCTCTAGAAGTTGCAGGGTTGGCATCTAGGTGCACTTCAGCATCTTACTCCCATGCCCTCTGCTTCCAGTTTAAGACTTTAGCTAAGGCTAATCTCATGTGGACTTAGCTAAATCACTTAAATGCTTTGCTTTAATTTCCCTGTCTGTGAAACAAAGATTGTATTACTGTAGCACCTGGCTGTTTCACACATGTACTTTAAACTGGTGGACCCCCAAGTGTTGGTTCATTCAGAAATTCTTGCGAGTGTCATGATAGTTGTGCAGTTGTCTAGAACAACAGAAAATCAGCCATGTCTGGAGACACCTGAGAACTTTATCTGTTTAACTGGCTCTGGCCATGCACTGCCCTGCACCAGTGCCATGGAGATTAATCTGAACCTGAGAACTCAGCTGAGATAGAACAGGAGTCCTGAACTATCCCTCCCAGCAACATCAGGCAACAGCTCAGAAATAATTCTTCTAGGTCTTTTGTGTTTGTTTTACCTTTTTCACAAGCTCTGAATTTTTATTTAGGAAGAGTTCCATCTGGTTTGCTGAGACCAGGCTGGCAGACCAGACTTCCTGGTGTGAATTGTTGTTGTAAACATTGTTTCCGGGATAATAGGTTGCTCCCAAATGCTAAGGCAGTTCAGTTCCTTAATGTGGATCTGGTGAGGAGATAGGCTAAGTAGAGGGAGTTGTATCTTAAAAAGCAATTAATTAAAGAGTTGTAATGCCTTCACTTCTTCCTGGCATTACATTTCTGCCTGTCAAACGCAGATGCTTCTAAACATTGATTACACAGGGGCTGTTCCTACTGGTTTGGCTTGACTCGTCTGCATTTAACACTTTTTGATAGATGTATTATATACACAGTGAAGCTTGTTAGGTATAGAATATTTAATACTCAAGTGGCTTCACTGCTGACTTACAAACATGTCATCATTTTCCTTGGATTACAAAATAGCCCTGACCTTCACCATTTAGAAATTTGAACAGACAGTAGATGTTTAAATATCTCATTTAAATAAATGCCTTCAGAATGAGGTGGGAAAGGCAGCCCAGCAATGAGAAAAGCCTGGGGGGCAATAAAAGCAGCAGGAGAGGTTACAGACTCCCATGCTGTCAAGGACTCTTGTTTGCTTTTAGTTGTGAAAAATGCAAGTGAAAGTGTTACACTGGGGAAAGCCCAAACCCATTGGAAATGTCAGCCAGTCTTGTTGTAACACGAGCTGATTCTTTAGGAGCTGTTGTTGGTGAAAGGCAAAGAGGTCTTGGCAAGAATCTCACAGTTGCCAGACCATCTGTCAATTCCAATTTGATATAAATTTCTCTTTTCCTCCCCCCCCCCAATTTCTTATCTTTGGGGACTGAACACTGTTGTATCAATGCAACACCTGCCTTAGGAGAAGGACCCTGTCTTTTTAGACCCGAGAAGTTTTGAAATGGGTAAAAATATCTGAGAAAGTACTATGTGCGTTTCATAACTCTAATAAGTCCACCTCTCTCCACCAGAGCAAAGGCTTGCTTGATCATTGAGCTCTTAATTAGGTTATTACAAGTTTACATGCAAGGATCTGCACTGAGTCAAATCTTCCTTCCTTACTGTCCAAGGGAGTGAGAGTCTTAAGGCCCAATGGGTTACAGCCCAATATAGATGAGAGAGACTCTGGATATGGCTCAGTGCAAAGATGCCCTGGCTCCAGCAAGGGTGTGATGAATCTGGAGGCACGACCATTTGGATTGCTTCTGGCTCAGAAGAAGGGTTATAGCACTGGCACAGCTTTACTTTTTCCACTGTCCTGCCTTGTACTTGCTTTGTAAAGGGCCAGTCATTCAAAGCAACTCCAGCATCTTTATATGATACTGCCTTTTTGGTTTTAGATGTACTTTGGAGATTTTGATCTGGATGCATTAAATGAAATTGTGGTCTTTTTCAGAGCTTGACAATTTTTATGTATTCTTAGATCAGCATCTGATCAGGCCTAGGTCATCCAGCAGGATGGTTTACTGCCTGATCACTGCTGGAAATTAGGCTTCTTATGTGAAGTCTATGAGGAGCAAACCCAGTTCCTAAGACAGCCTGGAGATCTGCCAGTTGCCACATAAGAGAGGCCTGCCAGGTCACGAGTGAGGTACAGGACAGGTTTGACAAATGTCTAGAAAGTTTTCTTGCCTTGTGCCCTCTATTTTTACCCACTGCTAGTAGTTCTTCTGTGTATCAAATTTACCCCAACACAGAAACAGGCAATGGACTCACTGGCTAAATCCTTAGGCCCTACAAAATGTCCAGCTGAGGACACCACCAGACAGTGCTATGTCTGAGCACAGTCATCAATATCCAGAAGAGACATTTTGTAATGATGGCAAGATTTTGGAAGGGCCGGTAAAGGTTGTCCATCAGCCCAGTCTTTAACTCTCTGAGGCCAGGAGGAGACAGAATGTCTGTAGCAGGCAGTATGCTCCTAAACTCTGTGATTCTGTCTGCTAGGACTTGTCTGGCAGTATCATGCAAAAGACCAGACTAGTGAGCCACTAGTTTTGAGCCCCAGTGCTGTTGTTTGCCTGCATAGTCAAATCACTTGGGAAGGGGACGTATAGCTCTGTGAAAGAAACTAAGGCGTCCCGTTGAATGCGTAGCTGTCAGGTCCCTCAATGATGCGAGTTCTTTTTTTTAATTGTCATTCTTGGTGCTAAAGGCTTCCTCTGGCAGTACCAATGAAATGGAGACAGAGATGGGTCTTGTCATCGGCCATGCCTACTCAGTCACTGCAATTCGGAAGCTGCGCCTTGGAGAAAGGCTCATGTTCTCTTTTAAGGCAGAAAAGTTGTTCATGATCAGGCTGAGGAATCCCTGGGGAAAAAGAGAGTGGAACGGTGCCTGGAGTGACAAGTAAGTGCTGTAAAACCTGTGTGAAAGGATCAATGAAACTGTGATTAGGGCCACTGGATGTTAGATGCATGGTTAAACGCTGTTGAGACACGTTGGTCTGCAATACTCAGCGATGGCTGAACCGTTGTGCCATCTCTTCCCAAGTATAGAATTCTCTGAGCAAATGAACACATCCTGGAGGAGCCAGGAGGTTATGGCTTCCTGGACCTTAGTTTACTGTATACATCATTTTTCTGGCACACTGGAGCATGAGTAGAAAAATAGCCTACGATTAAGGTGATGAGTCAAGAACATGACGTTTGTTCCCAGCTTCACCAGTGAGTCTGTCTGTGACTCAGTTTCTCATCTGCAATTGCTAGCTGCTGGGGATGGTATAAGTCTTTTATTCTTGGATAATTTAAGTGACTGGTGAAAAACGCTGTAAAATTGCCACATTTGTGATTTCTTGAATTATTTTCTAATTAATTTTAATGTGGACCGTGAGCTTAGCAGGCACCTGTACAGAGACAGAAATGATTGCTGGAGGGGATGTATTCCATCACTGGCAATTGACACATGAAAAACTTTTAACTAGGATGTTATTCAACACTGTGCTTACTAGCCACTGTTAGCATTTAATAATGTAATGTTCTTAACAACAGCATATTAACTTCTTATCCTCCATACTTCAGTTAGCAAAAATCTGTTACTTTTTCAAAGAGTTTGGTTCAGGTGAAGTGCAAAGAATGTGCAGAAGAGCTACTGTGTCTTGTTTAACTTCAGCCCTTGTGGTTCCCCACTAGCCCTTGCCTTGGCACAGCTGCCACTCATTCCAGTAGAAGTGCTGAGGAGTCTGAGGCTGGCCCATGGTTTTTGGCCTAACAGAATTAAATTCAGAATTTCCAAATAGGTTAAGAAAATGTCTGTTTTGGCAAGCAACCTCCCTTCCTTCCTGCCAACCACGTTCAACTATATCCTCCAAGTACTTTTGGAAAAGGAGTGAGGAATTGTGGCTCTGTTCATCTAATGTAACACATTAGGGAAGGGGCTCATGCTGTCTTCTGGCATGTTGTCTGACTTAAGCACAGACTACTTGCATTTAGGATCCTGTGCTCCCCTGCAGTCAGTGGAAAGAGGCAGGGGCCTCCAGCGGACAATGCAGAGCACGTAAGCTCTATGCTAATGCAGGCAATGAAGTGTCTATGCAGTGCAGTGTTACTCTGGGAACTGGACACTAGGCTCCTGCTGCAACAGTTTCTTCTCAAAGGCTCTCTGGGGAAATCTCAGACCTCAGGCCTGCTTTATTTAAGGAGATTGAAAGACGGAGGGAATACTCTGGTCTAAGTGGAATGTTCAATAAGGTCCTGAGGAGGAAAACCAGGTTTCTTTTGACGGGCCTTCAGGGAATGGGGTCAATCTCGTATGACCTTCCAAACCAGCTGTTAAGTGTCCTAAGAGAGGGTGTGACAAAGGAAATCAATAAAGTTCTGCTCTAGCTGTGGCAATTTCCCATTCATCTCTTTCTTTTTTAGTAGCTTTCAAATCCATTAATGTTTTAAAACTCCTCCTGTAAGCCCCATGCTTTCTTCCTGGGTATCATCTGTCTTTTCAGTACTCCAATGTTACCTTTATAACAAGGGACCATGAGAGAATTTTACTTGCAATTTTTTTTTCCAGGTGAGAGTGTTTAATTTATTAATCATCTTTGTTGCCCCCCCCCCCCCTTTTTTTTTTTGCCTTTTAGTTCTGAGGAGTGGAAGAAAGTCAGCAGTTCAGAATGTAAGAGCTTGGGACTCACTCTTGAGAATGATGGAGAGTTCTGGTGAGTGGGAGTCATGTGAAGGGTTTGGAGATGCTGGCTACACTGAGTAATTGTCATTAATTCTGCCATTTAACAGCTTTGAAAACAAGTTGCCCAAATGGATAAGATTATCCAGTCCTGGGACAAGGTCTTTTTCTTTTAAACTCTCAAGGGTGCCAGAGAAGAACAGAAAAAATAGATTAGTAGAACAAAATTAGTAGCTCTTACTAAATACATTTCAAACACCCTCAAAATCTATTACCTATATTTAGGACATTCACTCAGAATCCAAGACAACACATGTGCTGGTTGACATGACAGAATGCCAAATATTGAACACACTGTCAATCCTGCTTACTGACTACTGTGCCTATCTGTAGGATTTCTAGGTCAACTACGGCTGAGGTGTCTGTAAATACAATTGCAGCCAATGAATTTTGATACTTGTCGGTGTTTTCCAGCATGGGCATGAGAAGTGTTCATTCTCTACAGAATCTCCAGAACTCTAATAATTTTGACTCTGCTTACAGCTTAGATACCCCAAGGCAGTCCAGCAAGTTCTTCAGTAGATCATCAATATGGAATCAGGTCTGCTGGTAGGGCTTATATGAAGTCTTCTGTTTGCTTGGCTTTGTCAGAACTGGCAGCTGGAAGCCAGCTGTAGGGTTTGGTTCTGGGCCATTAATAAGCCAGGACATGATGGTAGTTCAGAGATACCAAGCTGTTAGAGGAGCTGAACATTTTTTAACTGCTCTGCAATCCAGTCTGTCACTTTAGCAGGCACAGGTTATAGCATTGAGATTGGTACTAAATAAAAGCTATGTCCATAGTACAGAGGTTTGAGTCATGCTCAGGGACAGATGTACTAATAAGGACCATAATAATGAGATAGTGCTTTGGTTGCAGGTAATCTCCTTTGCCTTTGCAAAATACATGTTATCAAATCCAGCCTGGTAGATACAACCTATCCTTTAGGCTTAGGTACTGCAATGGAGCAAATCCAGAGCTGACCAAACACACTGAGGTGATATTGTCTAAATTAAGTTCTAAGATAGTGCGATTGTGGCTTCACAAGTATTTCCACATGGAGAGCATTCCAATGAATCACTTTGTCCTCTGGACAGCTGAGCAATGCCTCCTCTTAAATTACTGGAAGATTTCATGTGTTATTTTGGCTCTTTATGTGAGTATCACTGTTTATTTTTAAATAAACCATTACTTTCCTGGTGTCTTATGGAATAGGATGACGTTTGAGGACTGGTGTAAGAATTTCACTGACGTGGACATCTGCCGGATTGTGAATACCTCCTACTTCAGTATCCACAAGACCTGGGAGAAGAAAATGATGTGTGGGGCTTGGACAAAGAATTCAGAGCCCCTGCTAAATCGCTCTGGTGGATGCTTTGATAACAAAGAGACCTTCCTTCAGAATCCCCAGGTGGGAATCCCTGTATTTTGTGAGGTATTGAAGTGTATGTGTATCCACTTTAGCTAGGGCTTCTGAAGTATCCACCCTATTTATGAGTTGGCAGTGACTACTTGGCAGAATATCATTGCCAGTGTCTGTCCTCTGGGAGTATGCTGGTTCACTGCCTGTTTCAGGGATTTCTGTGAAATCTCTCAGAAGAATTTAGATATTTGTTTAGGACTGATCATGTTTGGGGCTGATGAGTCAGACACACCAGGATTACTGAAGTCCTGCCTGGACTTCTTTCAGTTGCCCAGTTGTAGTAAGGCAGCAAGTCTGATTTCCTAATGACAGAACTCCATTCACTTCACACCTTTAAACAACCTGAAGTTTTGGTCCACTGTATTTTGTTAGTAACAATTTTGCATTAATGTAAGAATCTGAAAGTATCTAGTCTCTTCCCCAAGCTCACCCTCTCATCAGCATTACAGAATTTTCCTTGTCTCATCCTACCTGGTAACTTTCAAGCTATTCAGTTTATCTGTTCATCCATTCTTAATTTCTCACCTTCCTGCCCTTCTCAGTGTTGTATGTTTTCATCCCAGTGCATGCAAATTCAGGCATAAAACTTCCATTGCTGTCAATGAGATCTGGGCACCTACTACTTCAGTTATTACTTTGAAAATTGACCTTTCAGTTCTTTTGTAATTCACCACATACTTTAGATTAATTAAAGATGTTATTGTGTCTGCGTCTCTGCACTTGTATGGGAGGTTTCTGTCTGCACCCTTCAATTTTCATAGCAGGATATTGGAGAAATGCAGCCTTTGCTGTTCAGACTAGGAGTGAATCTCAAACTCCCAGCTCATCCTGTCATACAGGTATAGATGGAGAAGCAGTTGTTCACTGCTCTGTCTTCTGTTAGTGCCTCATTTCCAGGGGGTGATTTTATTCAGATATTCCCCTATATGATTCTGGACGTATTCCAAGTGCTTGTCTGGGTCTCATTTGTAACTGTTTACCTGTCACAGAGAACAAAATATACACGTTACGGTTGAGTGCAATGCCTGCTGCAATGGAAGTTCTATTTATTCCAGCTTTATCTCTAGGCTAGTTGATTAAAAGGCTCTTAATAGCAGCGCTGGAACACATTTATGTTAGCTTAGGGCCGTTATAAATTACTGTGGCACATACTACCACAGTCTAGAGATAATCTCTGTTCTCCCTGAGTGAAATGCCTGACACTGAGGCCTCCTGTGAAGTTTATCTGTACAGAGAGGGATTGTGACACTTCCAGTCCCTTTAAAATAAGGGAATTTAAGCCAAGTATAAATGTATTCCTACAGCCACCTGCTGATTTCCAGATTGTTACCCATTAGGACAGCTGAAATGTCATCAGGTCAAAGATCATCACAGTTGCATACCTCTTATCAAAGAGAGCTCTCTTGCACTCTCACAGTTCCCCTTCCACACCTCCATTTGCCCTGGAACACTCTAGGCTATCTGACAAGGTAAGACTGCATATGGGTCAACAGGGACCAGAATGAAAATGTGCCTTACTAGGTGTTGCTGCATATTTATATCTCACTTTTTAGAGTCTCTCTGCAGAGGCTCTTTACAACCACTAGGACTCTCTTCAGGATCCCATGCTGCCGCAATGTTGATATAGCACACAAATAACAGTACAAAGCATTGAAATTGTACCAAACAACAGCCAGCCCAGAATAGCAAGCAGTAGTTCTGTAGGAGGCTAATCTGGACCATAAATACTGTGAACAACTAATGAAGCCTAGAGGCTTGGGAAGGTATTGATTTTCTTTCCAATACTGTTGTGCTTCAGCAAACTTTGCTAGAGGTTGGTGTTTCCTCCATGTGGGTGTGACACCGCCTGAGACAGTGAGGGTCAGGGATGAGAAGTGGGATGGTGCCTTATTCTGCAGAGCTCTAACCGCAGAGGGATGTGAAATCGTTACACGGGATCATTCCACAACAGTAACCAAGGCAATCTCAGTATCTACCTCAGAGCAAATCTCAATGAGGATTTACTTTTTAGCAGCTCTTGAAGAAGGGAGGGGGGAATTGAACCACTAATGATATTCCTCTCCATGCTGTCAGAGAATTTTGGCTTAAATCAGAACATGTGGTGCACATAGAACCCAGCTGTGCACCACTGCAGTTTTATGCTTTTATTTGTTTGCTTCACATTTAAAGGTCTTTGAGGATGGAAGAATACAGCATCTGTCTAAACTTGGCATAAATAGTGTCCTGTTCCCCTCTACTGGTTCTGAGAACTCAGATTTGCCCTCTGTATGCACAAAAGAAACAAAATTTCAAGGAGTCTCAAACAGCGAACAAATTGGAGTATTTAATTCTTTGTTGTATAAAGAAACACCTATCTGACCTGTTTTGTCTACTGGAAGGGTACATACTTACTCATGAACTGGTCTGGTAGTGATACTTAATAAGTAATTCAAGTCTGATTTATTGAGATGGGAACTGCTGCTTAAACTTGAAGTAATTTTCTTTGATTGGTCTTAAACCCAAGTTGATTCAAGTTTACTTTAAACAGTTTGGATAAAAGATTTGCATGTTAAAGATGCAGGAGTCCTTAGCCCTTTTTACTGGGTATCCCTAAGACTTTCAGGAAAACTGAGAAAGCCCAAAATTAGCATTCCTGTCATTCTTATATTAAATAGAAATTGTAGGTGCAGAATGGAGTTATGGGTTTGGGGTTTTTTTAACTAAGATTTGGAATATTCCTTCATTTGCAGGCCCTATATAAAGATGTTTGAAATTTACAGGCCCTGTTTAGACATTGAAGTTAAAAGAATAATCCAAAATTATCAAAGACCTCATCTGGAGTCTGTTGGTTTAATTTTTTTGTCTCTCTCCTGGTTTATGTATATAAATAAAACTTAATCTTTTGTCTTTTGCTTTCAGAGGAGATGTTCTCTTCTGCTGCCTCAACAGTTATTCTGTAATACTGTCCCACACTGTACTTTATGTGAATTACCTGTTTCAGTGTCTCTGATACTTCTGGTTTAAAGATCCTTATTATTAGCATTAATTTGCAGCTCTGAATTGCTGGGAATGTCTGTTATACGGAGAACTCCTCCTCCCACCCCCAAATGTATTTTTACTTGCCTCCTTTGTATGCACGTATTTCCTTGGTGATGGCATTATCCTCAGTATCCTAAGCTATTACTAACAGCTTACCCTCATCTCTCTTCTACTAGTACATCTTTGATGTTAAGAAGACTGAGGACAAAGTGTTGGTCTCATTACAACAGGAAGATCGCCGCAAATACAAAAAAGAAGGGAAAGGAGACAGCATCCCAATTGGCTTTGAAATATTCAAGGTAGGCAGTCACTTGCACTCCTGGTTCAGAGTTTGTTCAGCAGTCCTGCTTCATCCTGGCAATGAGATCTCTGGCAGATAGAGGCATGATTATAATGGTGGGGTCTGGCTTTCCTCTCAATGTGAGCTTTGTATGTGTACTGCACTCAGTCACCAGAGCTGACATTAGACAGACTATTTGAACTAAATTGAATTTAGTTCAATTCAAACTCTATTTGAACTAAAGGAACATAAGTCATTTTTCTCTATTGCAAAAGAATTTTAAGTGCTTTTCCTACCCCAAGCTTTGAAGAGAAAGACAAAAAAATATTAATGCTTGAAACATAGAGAGTTTTTTACTCCTCCTCAGTGGAGTCTCCTGCCTCCACTTCATCAGCAAATACAGCCAAGTGAATGAGTTTGAAAAGTCTGCTGGTTTTCTTTTGCCACTTAGGAAAAAAAGTGAAGAGTGTTTTCAAAAGCTGGACTAGTGAGTAGGAAATGAGCATATGTGAAAAGGAACCAAAGGGATCACAAACAGTAATTTAATTGCACTCCCAGGGCAAATTGAGTAAAATTAAAACATACGAACTGAAAGGACGAGGAAAGCAAGAGAAACAGCTATGCATCTGCTCTTTCACTGAGGATCAGGATTATTTTATCATCTGTTGCTATAGCTAGTGGGACTACACTGAGTCTATGGCCCTACCCTAAAAAACAGACAGTTTTTAACAGTCAGAGCTGCTGACATCTGCATCACACCTATTCATTTGACAATCACCTGTTAACCACATACATTGAAAAGTGTCATTACAGCAAGTAGCATGATTTACCTTGCCTTGTTCATGCCTATATATCTAATTTGGAAAGGCTTGGAAAATAAAATCACACCTTCAGAAAAGTATCAGTGCTCTGTCTTTATTTCTGTTCAATAATTTTTCTGTTTCAGAAGTGTTCTAACCCACCAGGCTCATTATCATGACTAAAGGCCTTTGGAAGACCATGGCCTAAATTATCTGAAGACAAAAGAGATCTACCAGATAAGAATGTAGGGCTGTCTTTGCCCCCAGGAGCTGCTTAAGAAATAGGTTTATATTTTAACTGTGCTGTGGCAAATATCAGTTCCCTGAAGAGCATGTTAATAGTTAAGCACAGCTTCAAGGCTTAGAACAAAACATAAATGGTTATTCTGTGGCTTTTATATTCAGGAAAGGGCAATGAAAATATAGCTGTGTGCATCTGGATTGAGAGCCCACTACATAAGAGTGGAATGCTCTCTCTACATGCTAGAGAAAGGAGGCAGATGAATCGGCCTCATCTAAGACAGCAGCGTAGCTCAGCGGGTGGAGTCCTTGGAGTGTGCGTGCATCTCTGAAAGTGTTAAAAACTCTGCAGTAGCATTATGTGTCTGTTAGCGGATGCATGTCTTTGCCAGTCCCAAACTTTCACCACCACTTAGGTGTGTATGTGTATATACTGATGCAGTGAAGTGCAGAACAGCACTGCTTGGAAGCCTGTGTAGGCTAGCACTTGGAGCACTGCGTTGCCTGTCAGGACTCTGCCACAGCTTCAGTGGGTGAAAAACCATTTGCCAAACCATTTGCCTTTATTGCACATTGTCTTTTCTGCCCCTGCAAGGCTGTGTGATGTGCAGGGAAAATCCTGCCTGTTAGCTCTGCTATCCATCCTTGCATTAATCCCTGTACTGCTCTGTGGCTGTAGGTGGAGGATAACAGAAGCTATCGACTACACAAGCTCACTGTGCAGGAGAGAGTGGCCACATCTCTGTACATCAACACACGCACTGTGTTCTTGAAGAGGATCCTTAAGCAAGGCCGCTACATCCTTATCCCAACTACATATCATCCTGGCATCATTACAAAGTTTATCCTGAGACTCTTCACAGATGTGCCATCAAAACTCAGGTAGGTTGCACTCACAGCTACATGAGATCTTCCCTTGCCCACATTGGCTGCGCCTCCTTGGAAATGGCTGCCTGGTTGCCCTCAAATATCCCTGACTTACTAGCTCATATCGCTCCAGAACTAGGCCCTTGAGATGGTCAGGGTCACCTCCAAGAATCTCCAGAAGGTTTACTGGCATTTGTGCACGGTCAGGACATTTTTACTTAGGAACCTAGTGGACAATTCAGTTTGGGTCTTTTGACCTTTTAGTTTGGCTTTTGTAGTTGCCTCCAGTTCTAGGTCAGAACACTGAGCACTGGTGCTTGCAGTTATAGTTGATACTGTTAATTTCTTTGACCATCTCCTTTGAAACCAGTGGTTGTCTGCGAGGGCAAAACTAGTGTTTTGTGAAGTCAGGCCCGCTGAATTTTTTTCTTGCTTTGATACTATTTTCCATGATTTAAAATTTTTTTTCTGCCACTTCTGCTGCCATGTGAAGGATGACACATTTTGTTTGCTTTGCTCTGTTTTTATTTCTTAAGTCTGTCATTTCTGTACCACAAACTTCCAAAATGGTAGATGAGGAAAGAGTACAAATCTCATGTTCTGAAAATGCCAGATTTCAACAACTATTGATTGCTTGACATTTGTTGCTTCAATTGATTTTCCTATGATTTTTCAGGGAGCTGAAGGCAGATAAGCCTAAAATGACATGTTGGAGTCTTCTTTGTGGCTATCCACGCAGAGTCACCCAAATCAAAATTCACTCTGCAGAGGGTTTACAGAAGCAAGACAGATCAGGCGGTAAGTGTAAAGGAAGCCTGGAAGAGTGGAAGGGGCTACTTCAGTCCTCTAATGATGATCTGAGTTGATATGTAAGCAGTCAGAAATTACCCAAACAAACTGAAGATGTATGGGATTTTTTTCAGCACATTGTAGAGTCTGCTCAAAAGGAGAGATCAGGTGAATAAGATGATGCAAAACAGCAAGAGTTATGTGTCACCTATGCTGGTCCAGATGGGCAGTAGTAGTCAGACCTTCCTGAGAGGCTTTTTGTGGGGATTAGTAAGAAATTCACCTTTCAGGGTTATGTGTTTTCTAAATGGAAAATATCCAGGGAGACAGCTGAATCACACAATCTTATGTAGTGTATTACACTTACCTCAGCAATGTCATTCATGGCCTTCAGAGCACTTTGTTCTTCATTACCACAAGCTTAATACCACTTCAGGGAGGAAATTATGGTTTTCAAACAACCATCTTCAGCTGGGTAAACTAGGACAGGGAAAGGTTAAATGACTTGTACAGGACTGTGTATCTACATGTCAAAGGAAGTGTCCTGAAGGACACTAAAATGTCTTTCTGGCACACAACGTTGACAGTTAATTAGGAGACTTGTCCATTTGTCATTTACTTCCTCATTTTCTACTCCTACTCTCTGTCTGCCGGCCTTACTTTTCCATGACCAGTGCAATAGAAAAAGGTAGACACATCCAGCACTGAGTGGTTGGTAGGGAGAAAGCGAAGGAGCAGAGATACTACGATGAGTGTGGAACTGGAAACTAAAGAGGTTCCTGAAACATCTGTGTTTGCTCCAGATAACTCTTCAGCTCTCTTCACTTTAAGATGTGGAGCTAGGTTGCATTAACTTCTTGTGGTGAGAAGGCATTAGAGTTAGACCTGTAGTACAGTTAATCTTCAGTCTCACAAAGCAGCTGTAAAATTTCTCCCACCAGCTGGCTACAATTTGATTCCAGTCCCCTTTTCATAGTTATTCCTGGCACGCACTGTGTGGTGACCGAATGTACTTTTCTCTGTGAAAGCCACTTTCTGTTAAGTCTGGTTGTCTCTTCAGGGGACAGGAACATTGGAGGGAAGAGATATAGAAAATTGATTCAGTTAATTTTTCTTGGTACTTTTCTTGAAAAACTGGAGCCACAAACACCTCCATCAAACAAGCAGTATGGCTTCATGTTCTCAGCAAGGCAGGATGGATGGGTGAGACTGAAGGGGCTGTATGTGACAAGAATAGTAGAGCAGTGCATTGAAAAGAGGCAGCATGTTCTTGTTCTTGCCCTGTGAAGGACATTTTCATTTTTAAGGGTGGGGGTTTTGGGGTTTTTTTTTTGCTTTTAAAATTCCTTAAACACTTTTATTGCTTTATGGCAGGGAATGTTAGAGAAAAGCCAATTCTCCACCCTTAGCATTTCACAATCCTTAGCACAATTACAGTCTTGACAAGATCATTAAAACCCATTGCCTGCAGCTGCCAAAGACCAGGCTTCAGCTCAGAGAGCGTTGTGGGATTTGCTGCATTGTGACACAGACCCTCAGGAATATACAAATAGGACTTAAAACCAATGTGTAATAAGTATTCTAACTACAGCATAGCCCAAATACCTTTAGGACCCTGTACTACCACATATGGTCAGGTTGAGTTGAAGCATCTTCTTTCACTTAGATTTCAGCATCCAGTGTTGGGCTGATGATTACCCTGACAAAACTGAAAAGGTAACCTATTGTGGGAAGAACTGTCTATAGGAAATGGACTCATGGATTTCCTGTTTAAACCTAAGCAAAACTTCTGCTTGATTACTTTATCTGCTGAAAAAATGCATAATTGGGTCAAGTGATACTATTTGTGAATTAGTAATTGAATTCATCAAGTGGCTGAAAAAAAATCAGTATTGATCATTGTCAATTTTTTTCTGAAGTGTTCCCATTTCCCTGTGTGAAACAATGTGCCATTTTTAAATTAATCAAAAACATAAGGAGATTTGAACACAAAACCTAAATGAATCTTATTGTTTGATCTTGAATAAGATTTCACCAAAAAAGTTTAAATATTTTCCTTTTGTATCAACACAAAGCTTTCAGTAAAAGCCTTTGTCTCTTTTCAGCCTGTAGTTCCAAATCTCATCCATTCAGGGGGCACTGAAGGAGAGCTGAGTTACTTCACTTCAGTAGCTTCCCCATTATCTTGAATTCTGCTGTGAAATCCCCATTTGAATCTTTCTTTATTAGCCTTTTTTCCTATAAGTATCTCCAGCTCACAGAGTACATTCATAGATTGTCTTGCAGAATGCCATATCTTATATCAGCTTCAGACAAATGAAGTAGGGAGAGTGTGTAAATAAAAAAAAAACCCATGAAGCCAAATGTGCACTGCTGATGTTTGTGCTACAAAATAAAATCAAGCTGTGCAATGACCAGGATAACACCCATAACTGGCACTCTGCTTTCTATGCGCACCTTGCTGGGAAAGTTGGCAAAGCTCCTGATTGATACTAGAGTCCATTTTTGGTAACATAAAAAAGCTGTGTATGGCACATGTTTCTCACATTTGGAGGGGTTTTTGGTAGATTAAAAGAGTGGATATAGAAATTCCTTGAAGCATACTGTCTGGCTGGATTGTAAATTTACACTAGAAAGTAACGTGTCCAGGGACATTAAATATCTCATATTCTAAGATTGCTTCCTAATACTCCTGCAAAAGAATGCAACTCCTTGTCATCTCTCGTCTCTTCTCTGGCTTCTCTGGATCCATGTCTGGACACTCTCCCATGCTTATCTCAAGGAGAAATAGCAGCCAGGCATTTGAAAAAGACCAGCTTTCTCAGAAGTGAGTTTAGACCTCAAAGTCACATGGGCAGTTACCAAAATACCAGCCTTACCTTCTGTTCCTGGAACGTTTCCTGATGTGAACTAGATTTAAAAGTCAACAGCAGCCTCCTGTCTAATCAATACTGCGAGATGAGGGAAGAGGCCACACAGGAATTGCCATTGGGAGTGAGAAGTAGAGGTTTCCTTTCAGGTTAGGCACAGTCAATATGTTTATTCAAGTAGAAAATAGGTAGATTAAGTGGTTGTGCTTGCCTGCTGCTAAGAGGAACTCACACAAAGGTTACTCGTTTTCTGGTGCAAAGGTTGTTGGTAACTTGTTTCCATGTGAGCTGCTGTGTCTGATTAGCCCCACTGCATTTCACAAGGGTTTCCTGACTTGCCCTTCACCTTCTGATCTACAGCATCTTGGCTCTCAAGCTGCTTCTGTTCTGATGCTCACTGTCTGTCATCTCTCAGCTGTATTCCACCTTGTCCAACACCTGCCCGGTTTGTCACTATCATCCCTTAGCATAGAGAGAAGACAAAACTTGATGATGAAGGAGGAGGTTGATTCATTCTGAAGCTTCTGAGAAGTGAGACATGGCATTACATCTCTGTGACAAACTGTCCTGAAAACGTCAGGATGTCTCTATACTCTGACACTGGGGTATGCAGTTGATAAAAGCAGCCTGAACAGAGATACTTTTTTTGGATATAACTAGGATAGAGGGATTTTAGACTTGAATGCACTGATCTTCATATAAGCCCATCACTGTCATCTGAGAGTTTGCTTAGCACAAATTTCTGAGCAACTACTTAAACAAAACTGGAAGAGAATGAAGATTGCATAGCGAGTGCACACCCGGCCTGATTCACGAGCTGCTTGTCATCAGAACCCTGCTCCCTGCCAGAGGAAGGTTGTTTAATCTCTACTTTAAATGTTTATTGGAAAGCTCCTCCTTGCTGCTGTCTTTGATCCATTGTCCTGTCTGGAAAAAATAATGGATGGTTTGCTGTTGTCAATAGTGGATGAATCTAGCAGCCCAGACTCAATTCTGAATGCATATAGGCTGCTTCTCTTGGAAGTACCTCTCTCCGAGTTAGCTTGTTCTGAAGTTGATCCAGCTATCTGTGAGCCAAGCACCAGTGGCAGGTTTGCAAAAAGATGAAGCAACACTGTGAGCTTGGAGATTTTCTGTCTCTCATTCCCAAATCTGCTTTAAAAATTGCTCTCGCTACTGTCTGTCACACTCTTTTCCCAAGAGCTTATCTTTGAGAAAAAAATCATCTTTTGTATTTTTAAGTCTTCCCACTGAAATTTCATGTTGAATTTGCATGTTTAATTGCCTTTCATCACTTCTTTTCTAAACTACGTATTGTGATCCCTGGTATGTGACATACGTGGTAAGTAGAGTATCTGGTACCTATAATGGCAGTTGCCCTGGGAGCAGTCCGAGAAACAGAAGGAAGGAGAAGGGAAAAAGCAGCTGGTAAATGTTCAGTCAAAGCACGAGAAGGGAAGCAGAGAGAAAAAGGAGTAGAGATGGGGGGAAGATTTACTGATGCCAGTGGAAAGACTCTCTTTTGTTATCTGTATTGCAGGAGAAGCTAAGAGGTATCACATAAGCAAAGACTCAACTGCAAAAGGCAAACCAACCTGTTGTAATTCCCAAGGCAGTGCTTGTGTCTCAGCACTGCGTCTGCTCTGTTTGGCCCATGCCTTCTTCCAGTGACTGAGTTTGTCATAGCTCTCCATATTACCACTACGAGTGGTCTAGCTGGAGAAGAGAGGGAATGTCTCTGAGAACTTTTTCTCAAGAACATTTTCTAGAAAGTCTTTTGTTTTGGTACAGTGCTGAAGGGTGTGGATGTTAGATCCTCAGTCCAATTCTCAAACAGAAAAAAGTTAGCCTTAGACTACTGTGCATAGATTTCTTTAAGCCTTAGAGATGTCATTACTGTTCAAGCGTTTCTGGCTTTTACAGATTTCAACTTTTTCCTTTGTGCTGTTTTCATACAGCTTCCCAGTACAACAGCATGGCCATAGGACTGAGAAGAAACAGCTGTTTATACATAATATGGTGTTCAAAGCATAGCTTGAGTCATGTGTGTGCCTGAGAACTGAACCCAGTCCTCCTTCCACTGCCAGAGCAGTTGCCAGAGTAGCAGCTCCAGTTATTTTCATTCCCAGCTCATGGTGAATACTACGATGTTGCTCTTCCACATTAGTAGCCCTTTCTGCATTGCCTTTGTACTGTAAATAAACCAGGCCCAGAGCTGCAAAGTACTGGGCCAACTGTAGGTGAGAACATCCCTTGTCTCATCCTGCATGTGCAGATCTCCCATTTCTTTCTTTTGTTCTGGAAATGGAGCCAGTCCTCCTAATATAACTGACCATTCAACAATGTCATCATGAGGTCATGCTGTGCAGGTACCTTTCACGTTCCTCTTCTACCTCCCTCTCTTTTTCTAGCTCTTTCTGAGAATGTGAATCTGTTTCCAATGTTAGCTTTCCCTTTCCTTTCACTTAGCAAGTCCCTTCATTAACATCTCCCTCATCCACCAGATATGCCTGTTACCTCTTTAAGCTCTGTGTCCTTTTACCACCTCTTCTTATGCCCTGTCTCTTAATTACTTTTAATGATCAGATGTTGCTTTGCTTTGTGGCCAAAGTAGTTGACACCATTTCATGCAAGACCCCGTTTTATTCAGATCCATTTTCCAAATCTCTTTGCAAATGCGGGAGCTTTTCCATCACTGATTACACAGCGTGGTATGGCCCCATGCCCCAGAGCTGAACCACACATTCTGTAACACAGAAAGTAATTGCCTATCAGAAAAGCCAATACATTGCTACCTGCTATAGAAAGTGTGAGATGTTGTCAGGGTAACGGGCCTATTGCATGTCTGGCCAGGTATAATCATAGTGCAGCATATGGAAAAATCTGTTTCTTTCTCATAAGTGGAAGTAGCTCCTTCTGTTTTGGATGTAGCTGTTACGTGGTTTGTTTGCGTGAGATGTTGGTATCCATTCCTGCAAATGAGTGATGTGTTTGAGGAGAATCATCCTGGGTATGAATTGTTAAAAAACGAAAGCTGCCTTAAAATTATGCTGCCTTATGGCTGTCATTTTGAAGTAGGTGGTGATGAAATGTGTGTAAGAAATGATCACGAGTCTGACTTACACTTATGCACATTCAGTGGGTTTATTTAAAATCCATATCTAAAAAGTAGCAAGGTGTGGAAAAACAGATATACTGTCATTAACAATAGGAATGGACAGAAATAGTTGTGTTGAAATACAGAAAAAATGGTAGTGCCTGTGTTTAATTAAAAGTTAATTTTAAAGTGGAATGCTCCGTTCTATTTGAGGATCAAGACAGGTGTTTCTAAATTGGTTCTTGCTCCCTATTGGAATGGAAAGAAAATATCAACATTTATAACAAAGTAAAAATGTTCAGTGTAAAAACAACAAAGCATTTCTAGAATGTTGAATAATCTCAGTGGGTTACGTATGATTAAATTGTAATTTAAAACATTAACTAGGACCTATAATAGAAACAAACATGTGATAACATAAACTTTAAAATTACATTGATCCAAATGATAGAACCGAAGACGTCTCAGGTTCATGGGAATGAAATGAGAAACTGGGGAGGATTTGCTTTGACAGTTTCCCACAGAAAACTTTGTTGAAACCAGTGCACTCCTACAGAATGTTTTTGCATTTTGACAATATTTTACTTTCTGGAACAGAAACTGCTGCTTGAAAACTACCTCCTAAAACTAATACCCATATCAAAATACAGTAGACAGCACTTTCAAGCCAGGCGGTCTAAAGGTGGGCACTGAGATGTGCATTCAGTCATCTAAAAGCAGTTCTGTGCAATTCCTGTCCTTGCCCTATATAGAAATTGTGGACAACGAACAGTTTTTACCTTCCACTTTGGCCCAGGCACCCAGAACTACATATCAGATTGCATATGCACATATGCATTTTGGCTCTCATGTCTAGAGCAGTGTCGGGGAGCTTAAAGTGTCACTTTGAAGACTTTCTGTTAGATGAGCCAGGAGGATGCAGAGCAAGGGAATGTGGAAAGATCGTAATCCCAGTCTAGGACTGAGCTGGTTTCACAGCAAATCGTGCTTGGTTTCCAGCTCTCAGCATCCAGTTGTTAGAAGAATGAGGTATTTCACCTCTGCTGGTGATGGGCAGCTAGCAGTGGATGTGACGTGCCCTGGTGCCCTGTTCCTATGCTCAGTAGCACTGGCGCTGCCAGGCACAGGAGGGGATTGCTTCTGCTGGGTTTCTGGGCAGGTCTCAGCTGCTGTTCTGTGTCCTAAGAGTTGTGCTGCTGATTGTGTTTTAGGAGCAGATCCCTATGTGCTTATCAAGTGTGAGAACCAAAACATGCGCTCCCCTGTGCAACACGATACGACCAGTGCTGTCTTCGACACACAAGTGATTTTCTACAGAAAGAACATCGACAGTCCTATCATTGTCCAGGTGAGATAAGCCATGCAGGGTGGGCTGCTCAGGGCAGGTAGGGGAGCACAACAGCATCACTGCACTTGACATGCATTCGTATGACTGATACCCAGGACAGAAGTATGAGAACCTCTGCTCCCCTTACTGGGCTATGCCTGGATCTATTCAGCTGCTCTACTGATTCTCTAGTCTAGGTCTTTTCCATAAAACAGCAAGTGATGACACTTAGGGATCAGAAGGCATATTTCATTCCAAGGCTTTGAAGGAATTTACAGAATTACCTTTTGCCTCATTTGGTACCTGACAAACCAGAGACAAAGAAAAGCCAAGTGTTGTCCAGTGTCAGTGTTTGAAATAAAACCAAAGCTAAGGCTACTGTTAAGAAGCTTTTTACCTTGAATTCTAGTCCTGTGGCAACTAGACCACACTGTTTACCTCCGCACTAGCTGGAAAAACAGAGCTTGATATTTAGATGAGGCAGTCCAGGAAAACTTTGGGAGAGTGGAACAGCATTTCAGTTTGATACACACAGTTGTTTAGTATTAGACAAATACTAAGGACTATGTCTTCTTCATCAGTGTAGGGAGATCTTACAGCGAATCTGTGAATCAATTCACTGTGGCACATAAGTGCCAGAAACTGAAATAGCTTTATAGCACTGTTTTGCAAGAAGAGATACATTTCTGATTTTCCACTGCCTAATGCAGTACTGGTGTGTAGTACTCCTGTGCCACAGTACTCCTCTGAACTAATAGGTATATTCTACAAATATTATAAATAGAAGGAGGATGATAGCAGTGTTATCCCCCAAACCACGGACTGTAGTTATCGACTAGAGGGAACTGATACAACAGCTGATGGAACGTGGTCTGTGTTCTTGGCATGTGCAGGATTGCCTAATCCTTTAGTAAAGATTTGATTTACGCACGGGACCTCACCCCATCTCTCTACGGTATGCAGCTCGAACACTTTGACTTTTCCAGGATAACTGAAAATTAGATAGTAATGAACTTCACAGACCAAACAAAGACTGGCATGTGAGACTAGCAGCAAAACCCACTATTAACACCATTTCAGTTGCTGCTTGCTATATGCCCAGCCCTGTCCTGAGTAATGACAAAGGACATGGCCAAGGACTCCAAAACCACTGCTGTCCCATGCTCTAGCAGTGTGGACCTGGCTCTAACACAGAGGAAGAGCACTGAAGACACCGCAAAGGTGAGCACCAGCAGGCAGAGTGGCACAGACAGGCTGATTGCATGTAGGTTTTTACTGCTGATGAGCTCAAACAGGTAATGTTTATTCCTATTCTAGGCAGGCTGTGACCTAGAAAGCAAAAAGCTGCATTTAGCTCCTTATTTGCATAGTGTATGTAAATGAGCATGCAAATCCAGAATCTCCCACATGCTCTGTAGACAATTAGCTAAATTTAGATGTACGCCCCCTCCTCACTGCTTTTTCAAGGGGTTAATGGGGGTGACCCTGCTCCAGCACAACCCTTTCAGGTAGACTGTGAGAGAAGCACTACTTCAGCTGGGCTTATTTCAGTTCCCTTGTCTCTAGGTCTGGAACAGCAACGTCTTGTGTGACCAATTCCTCGGACAGGCGGTGCTGGCAGCTTCACCCAGTGACCCCAGAGAACAGCAGACTCTGCAGCTCCGAGGGAGAGGCGGCCGAGAAGCAGCCGAGGTGCCAGGTCACATCACCGTCAAGGTTTTTTCCAGCGATGACCTCGTGGAGCTATGAATACCAAAGCCCCGCAGAGCCAGACAGAGCTGTCACCTCGCAGCAGGGGGGCTTGTCTGTGCTTTCTGTGTGAACGACTCGGGAGCAAAGGTTGCACATAATCATAATCGCTTTAAAAAGAAAAACCCCTCTAACTCTCCACATTATCATGGATAATGGGGAGAGGCTTTTAAAGAGGGAAAAATACATATTTATACATATATATGTTCATGATGCAGCAAATACAGTAGAAGAGGGGCCAAACTAAACGTTAGCAGATAAGCTCATTAAGATGTGACCGTCTTCCCCAGCAGCATCTTTCAGGAGCTCTCGGCACATAAGCTGGAAGCACATGTGACTGTTCTCACAGGTTCTCAGCACATCATCATCTGTTCTCAGCAGTGGCACTGGATGCAGGCAGGAATGGCTGCATCTCCGTGGTCACGTACCAGCAGGTTGGTGGGGTGGCAAGCACAAGGTGGAGTCGCATGGCTCAGTCCTTGTTCACTGCCATGCTGTATTTGGGAGGGGGATTTTTTTTAAGCTTTGATTGGAATTTTTTCCCCATATAGGCTTATAAAATTCTTGATGAATTTCATTATTATTGCTACAGAGCAGATGTTTCTGTTCCTTGGCAAAAATGTCATTACTTTAAGGAGTTTGGTCATAGGTCGTAGCCTTAAGACCAAGCATGCCAGGGCAACTTTAAAATAGAAGGTCAGGTCTTGCAGTGCCTATTTGAACACCACAGCAAATAAGAGCTTTGCCCGCAGAAAGGCTCTCAGACTGACTTACTTATTCTTCTATTCTCCACCTCAAGCTGATGACTCACAAATTGATATCTCTGGCCAAGAGAAGGGCACCTCACAATTTAGCTGTGGTTTTGCCTAGAGGACAAATTAAGTAATGGGAGCCTCCTTGCTAAGGAGGCTTTGTTTAATCCACATGATGCTAAAAATGGAAAAACACTCTTTTTGCTTCATTAGATGTGATGGGTAGCACCATGAAAGAGGACAAAATTAGCTCATGACAAGGATGGGTCTGTAAAACAAAGATGCTATGCCCTCGCAGGTATCAGGTTTCACTCTCGAAATTTTGCATTGGTTTATTGCTGACAGAGCTGATGTTTCTGATGAAGTTTAACTTCAGTATAATGGAGGACAGGTATCGTTTCACATTTCCTTCAAAGCAGGGTTCTGGTACAAACTTTCTTTTAACTTTTGCATATAGCCTGATGGCAGGGTTTCCTCACAGCAGACATTTCTGTGTTGTCAAGCTGTGCAGTGATTCTCGCAGTATAAGAGGCTCACTGCGTTAGACCTCTTGGAAATGGATTTTATATGGTTGCAAATTCTGGTCTTGAAAGTGAATCTAAAGGATGACTATTCTGCCTTTTGTACAGCCAGGAAATTTGGATTTCTGTGTATCTTATAACCACTTCAGCCATTCTGTGCAATTTTTGTAATTTAGAAAATGGCCCTCAGTAGAGTTAATGTTTTCACAAAAGGTTTTGAAGTCTCCTCAGGACTCCAAAAGGATCATTGCTGTGGTAGAAAATGCTTTCTCTGACATGTTGGGGATGGAACGTAAAGCTATGAATGATATTATACTGCCATCAGCTTAGTTGCATGTACCAAGTACCTAAATCCAGCTCTCTTTTTAAATAGCTTGGGCTCAAGCCATTTTGCATGCAGAGCATTTGTCAGATGTGAACTACATACGGTTGACAGCCCCACAGGCAAGTGCAATTCTCTGTAAACTCATAGCTTCAGAGTTGCTTACTCTCAGATATGTTTGTAAAACGCAATTTTTTTTAAAAAGCATGAACTTTCTCATGCAGACCAGAGCTCAGGCAAGCCACACAGGGAACTGCAACTCAGTCTGGGCTGTCCTAGCCCTGCACTGAGACCTGTTTGCTTTGCTTTTCCTCCCACAGTATTTTATGCCATGGTAGCTGCTTCTCAGCAGCGTGGCACGAGGGGTGACTGCAGCCCGTTGGCACACCTTCACCATATGGGTGGAGAGCACCGTGCTGGTGTTCCAGCATGGTTAAAGCCGCGCATTGCAATTTGCAGGGCAGCATGGCCATGCAGGAGAGCACACCGAGGCAGAGCAGAACAGGTCATGTCGTATAACCCCCCTTTCAGATAGGCTTTTCTCCAGGGGCTGTTCCATATGAGATGGGTGCAGTAAGGAGGGGCTGGCTTGGCCAGCTGATTGATTTGGGTCAGTGTTTAGCCTGAAGAAGGTTCCTCTCAGAGATGGCACCCAGCACGCTTGGGCTGCTTTCCCTTTTGCAAACTGAGGCAGCTGGCAGGAGACCGGAGGCTTATGCCTCCCTGCCCCAGTATTTGCCTGATCCGAGAGCTCGCCTGAGCTCATTGAGAGCACAAAGCCATCTTGTCTTCTAGCTGGAGCATAGTGTCCCTTGGCTGTTTCCTTTGAGCCCTGCAGCCCTGGCCTCCAGCTCCCAGCACCGCCGTCCCGCTTCAGCATCTGTGTAAGGGTCATCCCCAGCATCAGCGGGGCAGAGGGAATTTGACCAGCAATCCTTTGTTGTGTACAGCCTGACTAGGAGGGAAGTCAGGGTGGAATGGGTAAAGGTGATGATTTTTAGGCCTTGACAGTTATGTCAGCTCAAGACATTCCCACAGTTTGTCCCTGTGGTGTGGGGACAGGGGGCCCTCGAACACCAGTGCTGGCCAGGTGGAAATGGAGCTCTGTTGCTTTCTCAGCATTGCCCTGAGGGTGTTCCAGTCCAGTGCTGGTAGCTGTGGGAGGCTCAGGCATGCTGACACCAAGCAGAATGCCTGTATCTCTGCATTTATTAATGTTTGGGAGTAGTTGGAGCAGGCAGGATTTGCCCATCAGGAGGAGTTGATCCAACCTGGGAACACGATGGACTGTGCTGACTTACAGAGACTTCTGGCTTTTCCTCCCACCGAGACATGTGGAAGGTGGGAGCGATCCCAGGTGAAGCCAAGGCAAGAGCAGGTTGAAAGGGGCTTGCACTGCTGCCTGCTCCCCGCAAGAGAGCCCAGGCTGGGCAGGAGACAGTGCCCACTGCTCTGTGGGCTCTTTCTCCTGTTGTACGTCTTGCCATGCACTGAAAGCAAAGCCAGCTCCATGGGTTTTTGGCTTACAGGGGAGGTAGATGTGATATGTTTGAGGTAAGAGGATTGCCTTTTCAGACCGACACAGGAATTTAAGATCAAATGTTACCAGAGCAGGGCAGTATTTTTTAACAATTAATGATAACTTGTGGGAAAACAAAGGGGTTTTTTTGGGGGGGATACTGCATTTATGTATGCACTTGGGCCACCTTTGGCAGAGAGTTTTGGCCTCCCAAAATTAAAACAGAGGGAAATAGATGGAAAATGTTTCATTTCAACCTTTCTTACTTTTCAATATGAAGTGACCTAAATAAAAGGTTAACAAAAATAAATAAATGTGTTCAGTAATTTCTGAAATGAAACGTTTGGTTTCAGCTAGAAGAAATGGTTCTGGAATGACCTCAAATTACATTTTTCAGCTTGCTCATAAAGAAAAATGTATATCTATCATCACAGCTGTTCACTGAACAGTTCTCCCCCCCCCCCCATTTACTTCACAACTGCTCCCTACTTTCCCCCAGTGTGTTCCCAGCTCATTGCGGTCTCCATCGTACTGTAGCCTTCCTTGCTGTCCCTCACCCTGAGGAAGACCAAGCCCCAGGTCTGGGGACTCGTCCTGTCCCTGGCTGCACAACAGCAGTGTCTCAGGAGTCCCGCTAGATTTTATGGTGTAATTCAGACCCGCTCTTCACCCCTCGGCCCCAGGCAGAGTGCTATTTATTCGAGTGAAGCCCAGTTTTTGTCTGTCCTCATTGCTGCGTTCCATTCCCTTTCCCTCCTCCCTCCACCAGGATGAGCTCTTGTGAATCCCCATGACTTCTCCCCCCATTAGGCTTAGACTGACTCTTATTTGTCTCCTCTGGCACACCAGACCAGTCACCTCTGTGGGGAATAACGGTCTGACTTCTTGCTGAGCACAGCACACAGCAGTGCTGTCGGGGCTATAAGAAGAGCTCCACCGCACCCACGTTTTTGCTGTTCGTCTCAACTAAATCCTCACTGTTTGGAATTCTCACTCTAGGATGGCTGCAGGGTGGATCGACAGCCTGACTCCTGCAGCATCCTGCAGAGGATGGTCCCAGATGTTAACGGTGAGCAGCCAGAGCTGTAGCTTCCAGCCAGCATTTGTGAGTATTGTGTCATATCGTCTCCTGCAACTTCTGGGGAAAAACAACTGACTCTGGTTGGTACTGCTAGGTCAGCGCTGCTCGTATCGGCTGTGAGTTATGAAGGCTGAAGGTCTGGCAGGTGCTGTGCTGGGAGCCGCAGGACCACCACGCTCCTGAGGGCTCGGACGCGGGAAACGCTGTGCTGGGGAAAAGGCCCAGCGGCCGCCCTGGGCCTTCACCTGGCGCAGGCCGCGACTGCTGTGGACGAGCGGGGGCCAG